AGCGAGGAGAGCGAGGAGGAGGAGGGGGAGGGGGAGGAGGAGGGTCAGAGGGAGGGAAATGACCCCGCTTTCCTTCATGGATCTTCCCCAAGATGGCCTCCAAGGCTCCAAGGAGTGCCCGAAGAGGGGCCCAAGAGGCGCATATGAGGTCCCATGAGGCCACCAAGACGTCCTTAATAACAGGCTCCCAAGAGGCCCCCAAGAGGCCACATTGGACTCCCCCAAGACACTCAAGGCGCTCCAAGAGGCCCCCGGAGACACCGAGAGGCATCCTAGAGGCGGCTCACTTTTCTGCTCGCCCTCCTCCTCCTCGCCCTCCTCCTCCTCCTCCTCCTCCTCCTCCTCATTGTCATCATCATCCACTTATTCCTCCTCCTCCCTCCTCCCTCCTCCCTCCTCCCTATACTTCCTCCCCCTTCCCCGTCCTCCTCCTCCCTTCTCCTCCTCCTCCTCAGGCGGCCCCAGCATCGAATCGATAAGCCGGATCGGGTCGACCGGAGCATCGAATCGGCAGAAGTCGGCAAAAGACGGCAGCCAAATCGAAATCGGCTGAAGTCGGCACGGCCAAACCGGATCGAGTCGGAAACCGGACCGCGTCAAGCCGGATCGGAATCGAAATCGGAACCCCCCCCTGGGGGGGGTTTGGGTTTTTTGAAACCCCCCCTGGGGGGGGTTTGGGTTTTTTGAAACCCTCCCTGGGGGGGGGTTGGGTTTTTGGAAACCCCCCCTGGGGGGGGGTTGAGGTTCCGGGTTTTTTTTGAACCCCCCCCTGGGGGGGGGTTGGTTTTTTGGAAACCCCCCCTGGGGGGGGTTTGAGGTTCCGGGTTTTTTTTGAAACCACCCCTGGGGGGGGTTTGGGTTTTTGGAAACCCCCCCTGGGGGGGGTTTGGGGTTCCGGGTTTTCTTGGAAACCCCCCCTGGGGGGGGTTTGGTTTTTTGGAAACCCCCCCTGGGGGGGGTTCCGGGTTTTTTGGAAACCCCCCCTGGGGGGGGTTTGGTTTTTTGGAAACCCCCCCTGGGGGGGGTTTGGGGGTTTTTGGAACCCCCCCCTGGGGGGGGGGGGGTTTTTGGAAACCCCCCCTGGGGGGGGTTTGGACCCCCCCTTGGGGGCCAGAGCCGGAGCGAAGCCGGATCGGCAAAAGCCGGCAAAAGCCGGATGACGCATCGAATCGGCAGAAGCCGGATCGGGCGAACTCGAAATCGGAATCGCGAATCGGAATCCCGGAATCGAGTCGGTTCGAAATCGGAATCGCGGAAATCGATTCGATTCGAACCGGCGGAATCGGAATGACCCCTGCCTCCTCCTCCTCCTCCTCCTCCTCCTCCTCCACATCATTGTCATGGGTATCATCATCATCCGCCTATTCCTCCTCCTCCCTCCTCCCTCCCCCCTCCTCCCCCTCCCCCTTCCCCGTCCTTCCCCTCCTCCTCCTCCTCCTCCTTCTCCAGTTCCTGCTTCATCTTCCCCCTCTTGGGATATGACGGCTTCCACAGTCCTTCGTTCCACGGCATGCTCCTCCACATCCCCGATCAGGGCATTTCGCCTGGTGTCGTTTCTGGGCGGGCTGGTGGGATTACGCGAAGCGTTCAGATTGGTTTCGGCTCGTGTCGCGGGTACGGGCGAGGTGACACTGAACGAGAGCGTCGATGTACCGGCCAAGGCCAGGGCCATGCGGGTCAAACGCGCACGCGCGCATGGGAAGCTGTAAGCATCCATCGCGCGCCCGCAAACTCACTCAAATGATACCAGTCGGGCCACACGCGTGTCTCCGCGCGCGCATCGAAACCAGTCCAACACGAACGGTGTACGAGCCATCCCTCACGAGTTTCAACAAGAACAGCATAACGATAATGCAGAATTTCTGCAAGCACGCACTTCTTCATCATCACTCTTATCTGCACAATCGTTCTCCGCACCGCCAGCGTCAGCATTGCCATCGACATCGTCATCATCATCCCCGCTCTCACCATCGTCATCATCACCGCCAGCGTCGTCGTTGCCACCATCGTTGACATTACTGTCAGTTTTCAGCTTCATCACCATCACCATCGTGGTCGTCGACCTTGTCCTTACCGTCGACATCAACACTATCATCGTCATCGCCATCGGCAACGTCGCCTCACAGTTGAGGTTTGCCGGTGGGTGGGTGGGATGTTTCACCGACCAGTGGAGCTGACGACTTCAATATTAATAAGTCAACAAACCCTGATGGCAAAAACGATAAAAAGCGTCCCCCCCTCTCGAGACCGGGGTTGACGACATCGATGCGAGTATTGTTCATCGTATGTTGCACGACTGTGAACCGCTCGATGTAGACACCAAGTAGTCTCGTCTAATAGTATGCGATGCGCATGCGATGATAACATGTTCTTTCTAAGGTACCCTTGCCATGAGCGTGCCGCAGCGCCCATGCCGAAACCATAAACAAGCCACAAGCCATCTGTTCTTTTGAACGACTTCAAGGCATGACAATCCAATCACTATCGACAATCCGTTGTTCTCCAACAAGTTGCCATACTTTTGTGCGCGCGCAATCGCTGAATTCACAAGAAATTAAGCGGCTCTCTGCAGTGCTGTCAACAGATACTATGTAGGCCACACGCGCGCGCATGTCGCAAGCGTGGAACCACCACCGCGCGCCTGCCCACTTTGTCAACATAACCATGAGGGCCAACCGCGCTCGTCTCCGCGCGAGCACGTCGAAAACCTTCCAAGACCAAAGATGTTTCGAATCAGCTAAACACGGGCATGTCCAAATACATACGGCAACCAATCGGCTCTTCGATTGGCATACGGATTGAATTCTTGATGTCTGCGGGCGCGCAAATCCTTATTCTCCACATCAGCAATAGTTATCGCCATCATCAGAGTCATCATTGCCATCGTCATATTCACCATCATCATCATCTACATCATCACCACCATCGTCGTCATCATCAGCGCCGCCGTCATAATCGTCATTGTCGATGCCGTCGCCTTCGTCAGATTTATGTGCGCGTGCGCTTCCTCATCATCCCACTAAAACCATGCTCAGCATTATCACCAGCGTTATTGCTGCAGTCGTCATTGTCATCAACATCAGCATCATCAGCATCACCCATGTCGTCGTCAACATCGTCCCCAACGTCGTCATGAGCACCATCATCGTCATCGTCATCGTCGTTGTCACCGCCCTGGTAAGTGTTGCCAACAAGTTGCAGGCGGGAGCGAGAGGTGCTCGCTCGAGCATTGGAGCTGAGAGCTCAATGTTGGAAACGCATGTTAGGCCACTGCACCACACAGCTTACAACCAAAGCGCGGACAATGACATTGTTTCGCTGCTGTTGGACTCAAGATATCCAAAACCTTTGCTCATTATCCACATGTCCATTCGTAAATCATGTCGTGGCCTTAGACGTCCGAACCCTTTGTGGTCCTCTTGCTTGACCAATCAATGCGAGGCTGAGCCGGCACGGAGACGCCAACCACCAACGCTGCATGATAGGATATATGGTCGGCACGGCGCGGCACAAATTTGCCTTCTAGAACGAATTCACGGCACGGAGCGGAAAGGCACATTTTAAATTTTTCGCATTCTAGAACGCAAACGAAGCACGGCACAGCAAAGCGCGGCACGGCACGCAACTGGCCGGCGCCAACAGTGTACCAGACCAGCTCGATGCACGATTTTGCGCGTGCTGTTGCGCGTGCCGGCACGAGAAGCGCGTGCCATCAGGCTGGTCTTGCAGACGGTTGGCGTCGTCCAGTACAGGCACGGCGCAGCACACTCTCCCCATTCTAGAGCGCAGGCACGGTAAGGCATGGCTTGGTACACAGGTACGGTACGGCACATTTCTCGCACTCCAAAGCGCGGGCACGGCAAGGCATGGCACAGCACGCAGGCACGGCTTGGCACAGGACACGGACAGTTCTGCATTCTAGAAAACGGACAGGACACGACACGGCAAGCAGGCACGGCACCACAAAGTTGTCGCACTCTGGAACATCAGCACGGCACGACACGGCGTGCAGGGACGACACGACATTGCACGCAAGCGCGGCACGGTCTGGCACTTCAACGGCACATTTTCACGTGTCAAAACGCAGACACGGTTCGCCTCGAACGACACTGGCATAGGGATTCGATACACCAGCGCTGCATGATAAGACACATGGTCGGCACGGCGCGGCACGCGGGCACGCCATGGCACGTTTTCCGCAACCTCGAAACACAACGCGGCACTGCAAGGCACGTGGACACGGCACGGGGTATTGGCCGCCTTCTCGGCACCAGGCACGGCACGCCACGGCACGCGGGCACGGCACGGCACGTCTCCCGCACTCTCTACATCAGACACGGCGCGGCACGGCACCGCGCGCGGGCACGGCCCGGCAACTTCTGGGTATTCGGGAAACCAAGCAGGGCGCGGCACGGCGCGCGGGCATGACACTGCATTTGCCTTGCCTTCTCGAGGCCGGGACCAAGTCTCGGTACGGCACGGCACGCGGGCACGGCGTGGCAGGCGGCAACCGTTTCGCGTCTAGGTTCCAGGAAAGCCTTTAGTCACACGACTTGAAAGCCCTTCAAACATACATGAGACAATGACTTGCGCTCACTTGGGCTTCAAAAACACATGGTGTTCTTTTGTAATCGCCCATGCTTCCCATTGACTCGATGTTCACGGCGACGGTTGAGGTTCCGAACCCTCCGCCCCATTTGTGAGGGTAGGGACATGTCTTTGAACAAGGGAGGGGGGATGGGAGCGAGTGTCGCCCTCCTCACTGGCAGGGGGGAGGGGGGGACCGAATTTCCCCCCCCCCCCCCCCCAGTCAGGGAGAAGGGGCGGATGACTAGGTTTGAACTCAACCTCTCCCCGTGCGCTTATCGGGGGGGGGGCGGGGCATGAGTCCTCCCAAGTTTGCAAACTTATCCAACATGCCATTACGGTCGCACTGTCGCCGAGTGCTGGCGATGGGAGCGACTTGCAATAGCTGTGCTGTCACTGGCAATCCCTCCCACCAGAGGGGCGTCCACGCGTACTGTGGCCGCCGCGTCCGCGCCGCTTGTGGCGCAGTCGCAGAGCCTGCCGCCGAGGGAGAGTGGCAACGTTCACCCACAAGTCAGAAAATAAACGACGACATGCGTGACAAGCAAAGTGGAAGAAGAAAAGGGCAGCACACGGGATCGGGAGAGCAGGGAGACGCAAGGCCTCCCAAACCCCGTCCTTCGGCTCCGAGGGGAGATGGTACACATTCGCATTGTGTTGCCATTCTGCGTTCCAGCGCCGGGGCATATCATGGTCCACGCCCTCGCCCATCACCGATGCCAAAAGAGTCTCCACATCATACTGACGTTGCCGGTCGTTGCAATACCCGACGCCACGAGGCTAGATCGCGATAGGGGATCTGGGACGTGAACGCGAGCCAGCGACTGAAAACAGCACAGGTTGTGGCTTGGGCTGGCGCCAAAGCGCATGGCGCGGGCCAAGCAACCATTGGCTAACATTTTTCGGCCCGTGGGAGCACTAGCCGTAAGTAGATAACAGGTAACCGTGGCTGAACGAGTTCCACTGGCGCATCGGTAAGTGCAAACAGGGGGCTGGGAAGAGGGACAGAGAAAGTAGGACGGAGGAGGAGAGAAAAGGACAGGGAGAGGACAGGTTCTAGGAAGGAAGGCTGCAATATATATATATATATATATAGAGAGAGAGAGAGAGAGAGAAAACAGAAAGAGAGAGAGAGAGAGAGAAAATAAAAGAGATAGAGAGAGAGAGAGAGAGAGAGCAGAAGGACGACCCGTTGTGACCTGTTGCCCGTTGGAGCTCAATTCCGGTTGGGGGCGCGTATTTGGCTCGTCCGTTTCAATGTTTGCAGCATGTTGAGCTCGGGCGCGCGTCGGAAAGACGGCCCTTCCGAGCCCCGCGCCAGAGCCTGACCCGGCCGCAAGCACTGAAATGGATTGCTAGCGGTGAAGAGTTCGATCTTCATCGGGACCACGTCGTCCAGTAGCTCGACCAAGCGTTGGCCCCGGGTTTGGCCACCTCGGGGTTTCCAGAAAGGCGGGGGGCGGCGGGGACGCGCCATAGGCGTCTTCGATAATCATCTCGCTCACGCAGTCATCTTGCTGTCATACGGAAAGCTGCGCAGGGAACGAAGGGGCTCTTCTGCCGACGGCGAGCCTGGGCCACGACCACGTTGCCCGACCAAAACTGGAGAAACGGCCCGAAAACAGAGCCCCTCGAGAGCCGAAACCGGTCCCTACGTCAGCATCTCGAATGTTGATACGTTCGAAAACTTTTGCTTAGCGTGTCGCCATGGCGGACCCGGCGGCACGCTGTCTTGCACACGGATAGCGTGTCGCTCCGCTCCGCATGGCGGGAGCTCGGAAAGGCTGGGGACACTGACGCCTCGGGAACAGAGAGTGGATGGCGTGTCGCGCCGAAGCGTGGTTGGCCAGAACCGGCGCAGCGACACGCTGTCCAAAAGATCCCGACCGTGCTGCCCGACCAACACCGAGGGAACGGCCCGAAAACCAGAGCCTTTCGTGAGCCGAGACTGGTCCTGATCTCAGCGTCTTGACTCTACGGTCGGACCTCGGACAGAAGAAACTCCTTCAAGAACCTGAGATCCTCCGCCGGCCAAAACACCCCTAACTAACCATAAGATCACTCGAGGGCGCCCTCCCCCAGGATGCATAAGAACATGCAACAAACACGAAGAACATGTGGGTACCGTCCCCGAACCGACCTCGATCCCATACCTCGGTCCGACCGTACCCACACTCCAGCGGGCGCCGCCGAACACCGCCCCGCCACCGAGGCCCCACGGGCGAAGCGGCAGTGCCCAGCGAGGCACCTCAAGAAGCCCGGAGGCGGGGGGGAGGGAGGCGGAGGGATCCCCGCACGCCTGCTGCACGGGAGCTGGGATCCTGATCCCAGCCCTGCTCGAGAACGCAGTCGGAGGAAGCGTGGGATGATGATGATGACGACGATGATGATGACGATGCTGCTGCTGCTGATGATGAGGATGATGATGAGGAGGAGGAGGATGGTGATGATGCTTACGATGATAACGATGGTGATGTTGATACTGCTGCTGCTGATGATGATGATGATGATGGTGGTGATGATGGTGATGATGATGATGATGATGATGAGGATGAGAAGGAGGAGGAGGAGGAGGAGGAGGAGGAGGAGGAGGGGAGGAAGAGGAGAAGGAGGAGAAGGGCGAGGACGAGAGGAGGAGGAGGACGAGGTGAAGGGGGAGGAGAAGAGGAGGAGGAGGAGGAGGAGGAGGAGGAGGAGGAGGAGGAGGAGGAGGAGGGGGAGGAGGAGGGGGAGGAGGGAGGAGGCGACGCATCCGGTGTCTGTCGAAGCGCCATCGTCGACCAAATCCACGGACGGCCGTGAACAGCAAGCGAGACGAGCGCGGGCCAAGCACGGGCCTCGAAGGAGGGAGAAGAGGGGGAGAAGGAGGAGGAGGAGGAGGAAGAGGAAAGGGAGGAGGAGGACGAGGAGGAGGAGGACGAGGAGGAGGAGGAGCGAGGACGAGGAGAAGGAGGAGGAGGAGGAGGAGCAAGAGGTGAAGGTGGAGAAGGAACAGGAGGAGGAGGAGGAGGCGAGGACGAGGAGGAGGAGGAGGAGGAGCCAGAGCATCGGTAGCAGCAGGAGCAGGAGCAGCAGGAGGAGAGAGAAGAAGCCTCTCACGCCTGCGGCACCCGAGTCGGAAGCCTGGCCAGCACCGCCACCCGCCGAAACGCCGCCGAGGTCCTCGATGACGACCCCCGAGACGTGCAGGGATTGCTCGGCCTCGGGAAGTGGGAAAGGCGAGATGGAGAGAGAGAAATGTGAAGGAAAGGGACGGGAAATAGGACGATGAGGAGAAGGCACAGCGTGAGATGGAGGAAAAGGAGGAGGAGGAGGAGGAGGAGGAGGAGGAGAAGGACCTAGAATTGCTGGATCGGCAGTGGTCGAAAGAGAAAACATGTCAGCAATAATGTGAGACAGGGATCGCTTGTTCCTTCTCGAAGTGTAACTGTCGCCCCGGAGCTGGAACCGAACGGCGACCCGAACCGATCTGGCTGAGAAAATAAACCGAGAACAGGGAAGCCAGAGCCGTCCAACCCCGCACACAAACCAACCCCGCCCAAGATACCCAGCCGCCATTTTGCTGCACACCACGCGCCACGGACTGCAGGCTCACACCCAGCCGTGCTCCGGGAGAGCCCGCGGGTGCTCTTAGGATGGCACTGGGCAGCTCCTCTCGGAAGTGATGGAGCTGGCCCGGCCCATGGTGAGTGTCTGAATGGATCGAGCCTGAGCCGTAAATCTGCCGATCTGAAAGCCACGGTGAATCTGCTTTGCCGCTTTAACGTTCGCCTTTGCATTGGCCGCTGCCTCGGTAGAAGATGGCGTCTACCTGCTCGTCGGTCACCTGAATGAGGAAGCTGTGCTTCTGGGCCCCTGAGAAAACATGGCCATTCTTCTTCATGAACCGTCGGGCTTTCCAACAGGGCTCGTTCGAGCGTCGTCTCCATTGTTTCTTATGATCTGTTTGTTGCCTACCAGCACCACTGGGCGTTGATAAGAAAAGGACGTAAACCTCTGAACTGTTCCGACGAGTAACCAATAGCTTCTGCAGGGTCTAGACTAGTATGTGAGCTGGCGGCGCCGACGCACTCGAGGGGCCCGAAAGCTCCATGAGCGGGCTGCCGCGCGCCGGCGGGGAAGGCGGCATGCAGCAGCGAGGCGCTCGGCTAAAGCTGTTCGGTGCTGGGGCACCTCCAACACCTGGAAGGGCGGCTGCACTCGCGGCCCAACGGTGAAGCTCTGGTTCGTGCCATGAGTCCGCGGCGCGTCCGCCGTCGTGGTGTGCCCCTTGAACCTTTTGACTGTCGGTCATGCCCACGGGGCCTCCGAAGGAGGGAGGTAAGCGTAGGGCACTGGCGATGTTTAGGGCGCGTGCTCCACGATGTGCCCGAAACGCCTGATCATCGTCGCGAGACTGCTGAACTCTGGCTCAATGGCTGGGTAGCGGTTGCCGCCAAGGCTGGAGCAGCGTCACGAACTGTCTAGCTGTGACGACGACCGCTTGACCGAGCAGCCAAATATAACCATCCCAGGACATCGCAGGCCCACCGTTGTGGGTTACCTGGAACCGCAGCGCAAGGAACTGCGAGAGCAACGCATCGGTGGTCTCGTTGCGCCGCCGAGGAGACCGAACTGCGTAGCGACAATCGTTGCAGGCTAAGTCTCGGCGTCCTGCTGGCTGTTGACCAAACCTTAAAGAATCACTACACCATCTCCGTGAAGATCATAAAGCGAATTAATTCTCGAACGGCGCCGGCAAGGCTCAGGATGATGGCGTCACACTGCTGGGCACTGTCCATGTCCGTCGCGAGCACGCTTCACGCGAACACGTACCCAGTGGCGGAATGGGTAGACGGACCCTCGCTCGGGCGACCAAGCAGAGGGCTGCCCGAAGTTGGCGCCCCCCCCCCCCCCCCCTGGGTCCGCCGGGGCCACCTTCTTGCTGGCCGGCTCCACCAGGCATCACGCAGGTGATCCAGAGCAAGGCGACCACTGTTGGACTGATGATGCTACCCCATAGAGCCAAAATGATGGGCCTCCTCGTAATGACTCTACCAGGATCAGAGTTATGCAGGCGACTGGGGACTCGCGCCTGCGCGCGGGCGAACGCCAACTTGGGGCTTGAGGTGGCCGCGTTGGCGCTGAAGCCATTGGTAGGAACCAAGGGTGGTGAAACGAGTGCGTTGACATTCTGTGCGTCGCTCTGCGTGCGCAATGGTGCTCGCCATGAGGTAAGCCAACACTGTCTCGCACTGGCACAACTGTGCCCGCGGCCAATGCTTGTGTTGTGGCTTTGGATCCTGGGCGTCATTGTGGCCACATGGGAAGAACTCTCCACCGAATACACAACAATTGCCCATGCAACTGGGGTCGCACTGGTTCCTGCACGGTGCGGCTTGAACCTCGTCGTGCGAGTGCGCTGCCACTGCGCATTGCCCGGTGGTGGTGCAAGCGGGGTAGACGACTCTACTGGCCTGCCCGGGTTGCCGACCATCCTCGAGCACAGAATAGTCAAGGATCGGAGAGCAGTACAGATGAAGACTGGGGGGAAGTTCGAACGCGCGTCCACCCCGCATTCTGCGCAGATTTCGTGGGTCGCAGCGAGCTGAGGCCAGCTCCGCTAAAATTGCGGCGTTGGCAGTGGTTCTGAGAGAAAGCATGGCAGTGAATTCAAGAGCGCCTTTCCTGCTCGGAGTGTAACTGTCGTTCCGGAGCTGGAGCCAAACGGCGACCATGCATCCTCTTCGAGCGGGGGGGAGGAGGAGGAGGAGGAGGAGGAGGAGAAGGAGGAGGAGGAGGAGCAGGAGGAGGAGGAGCAGGATGAGGAGGAGGAGGAGGAGGAGTAGGAGAAGGAGGAGGAGGAGCCCAGCGTAACGAGGGGTTCGTCCGCCGAGCTAGCCGCGGGGCGACCGCGCCTGGTCGACATAGTTGCCGACGAAAGGCGAGGCGGGTCGCGCGGGCGCGGGCCTGGGCGAAGCAGCAACACAGGTCGAGGACGGTGCAGTCGGAGCGGCGGCCAGCGGCCGCGATATTGTTTCAATCACAGGCTGGTGCGAGATACACTGGACAGAAGTGGACGGCGGCGAGGCGAGCACGGGGGAGAGGAGGAGAGGCGAGACAGCAAAGGGCAGCAGCAGGGAGGACTCGAGGGACGGAGCAGAGGGGGAAACGATGGGCGGAGACACGATGATACCGTCCGGCACTGGTGGGCGGGACAGGTGGTGATGCAAGGGGCGAGTAGAGAGGACAGCGAGGGATCCTCGAGCGCGGCAGACGGCCTCGCAGCGGATGGGATGGGAGAATGGGCGAGCATTCGGGCGAACGGCCTCGAGAATATTTTCAGCCCTGCGCTCGCAGTCGCCGTTATCAATAACGGTCGCACCAGGGCCAGAAGTGAGCCGTGACATCCTCGAGCAGGTGGCAATCCTCGACAGCGCGGAGGGGGGGCCGCTCGAGGCGATCCTCGACGACGGCTCAATCGACGGGGGCGCGGAACAGGAGTGAGGAGTAGTCCTCATCGGCAAACGGGCGGAAATAGACCACGGCGACGCCACACTCGGCGTCGGCTCAATCCTCGCCCAGGTGGCAATCGGGCAGAGCGCGGCATACTTCGTACACTGGCTGGGGGCCAATTCCTCTCTTTCCACCCCAGGTGCGCAGAGACCAGCTTTTTCACCAGCGTCCAGCAACAATGGTGGCGACAAGGCCTGACGCAACGGGCTCGAGGAGCACCCGTGCGCAGGACTTTGCGTTCTGCCAGATTTTCCACCAACGTCCAGCGGCAGTGGCGCAATCTGAGCCTGCCGCAACGGGCTCGAGGAGCACCCGAGCGCAGGACTTTGCGTTCTGCCAGATATTCCACCGACATCCAGCGACAGTGGCGACGCCTGAGCCTGCCGCAACGGGCTCGAGGAGCACCCGTGCACAGGACTTTGCGCTCTGCCAGGATCGATCCCATCTAAGTCGCTGAGAGGGCCGACTCGTTCTGGCGTGGCAATCATTGTCAGAGGTGTCGAGGGTGCGGGCTCACGGAGGGCTCCTTCGTCATCGCTGTGCACTGTAGGCACCAGCCGCGGCGTGAGGCATGGTGAAAGACCAGGGGCCAATCCTTCACTATCCTCATCATCAGCGTCAACGTCACTCTCTTGCCCAGCATCACGTTCAGCAGGACCGTCGGCCTCAGAAGTGGAGTGCTCGTCTGTGATCGAGCGCAGGACAGGGATGCACGGGGGCGGCGCCTTCCACTTCTTATCAAGCTGGTCAGTTGGCGACGCCATTCGCAGCGCTCTGACGGCAGCACGGGCAGCAGAGCGCAGAGCAGAGGGAGAGACCCAGTCGCGAAACCTGATGGTGTGATACGTAGTGTACATGACTACAATCTCCTTAACTCTTTCCACCCACGGCGCAGTCAAGCACAGTCGCTCATGTAGAAGCGCAGGAGGCGAGCGTCCAAGAGCATGTCCCACGGCACTACACAGGCGGCGGCAACGAACGTAATGGAATTGTCTGTCTGCAGATGTGCTGCAGCCGAAAATGCAGCGCCGACGACCTGACGGGTAACAGATGCGATAACTTGTGAGCCACGCAGATGCCCATGTCTTGATCACGGGGAAGACCCAGCTCGCTGGAAGCAACTGCAGCAGCATCCGATTCGCCTCCCACGGCACACGGTGTAGGAAGGGTTCGTACATGTCAAAGTAGCGGGCGAGCCTGGTCTCAAAGATCGCGTGGAGCGGGTAGGGGGTCACGAACTGCTCGAAGAGCGCAGCTGTGGCTGCCCGTTGGCACTTGAGCTTTCGCCCAGTGACTAGCAGCTCCGTGGAGATCGCCGTCGTGCAGCAGCGCAGAACTTCCGATGGCTATCCAGCTCGAGCCGATCCCCCTTGCAGCCGAGGGTAAGTTTGCAGAATGGGTGGCATCTTCCAGTGTCGCCCCGCATCGCAGAGCCAATCCAGCCGAGGTCGGATGGCAGCTAATGAGGCGTCATCAGACCGCCCATTCAGGAGATCCGAGTTCCATGAGTGTGTGGCAAGTGAAATCGTAGAAAGTATGTGAGAGTGCTCGCCGAACGTGATGGAGGCAGCTCGAGCAAGAGCAGCAGCGCACGAGTGTTGCACGAGAGGGATTTTGGGGCCTCCCCAGGCGGCTAGCTGGGCCCAGCCAGAGGCAGGTAGAGTACCCATGGGAGCACGGAACGTTTGAGCAAGCACAGACAGCTC